GCAGGAGAGGAGGTGAACTTCTTGTGAGTCAGAGATGACCTTTCAAAACATTGCTGTTGACAGAAGGCTGTCATGATCTCATCTGTGTGCTGGCTCCCTGCATGAGGGGGCATTCGGAGGCGTCCTGGTGTCCCCTGGGCAGGGCATGGAGGAGGAACCAGCTGGGGCAGGCAGAGCTGGACGTGGGCTCCTGGGCTCTGGCCGTTGGGGCATGGAAGGAGGGAAGTGTGAGGGGAAGAAGGATATTACTGGCAGATAATACTGCTGGGCTTGCCCTATTTCAGCAGCTCAGCTGGGCTATGGGAGAGCCTGAGGTGAGGGGAGCTGTCAGGAGCCCCTCCTGCAGGAAGGCTGCAATGTGGGAACCTACTCCCCTCTTCCAGCTGGGCCAGGCCAGGGTCCTCCTGTAGCCAAATGGCTGGTTTGGGGCTTTCTCCTTTAATTCCTCTAACATGGGCAATCCCTTTGAATGGAAGGCTGAGGATCTTTGCAGAGTGTGGCTGCTTGTATTTCAGTCAAAGGTACTGTTCTTCCTCCCTGAAAGTGCTGTTTAATGTTGTAAAGGCCTTTTCTGGTCCCTATCATAGCCTCTGTTTAGATTCTCTGAATACAGATGCCATGTCCTCAGGGCCATAAATCACCTTGCTCTTTGCTAGGTCTCCATGTAGCCAAGTAATCAAGAAATAAATGGTCCCACTGGCAGCCAGAGCATCTGTGCTCCTTGGTAAGCTCAGACACACTCTGCACACTCCATCTCTATCATCTGCAACCACAAACAGACCCAGCAGCCTTCTGGAAACTGCCTCCTCTCCCTGGGGTGTCCATCTCCTCCTCCCCCCCGGGGGAGCCAGGGTTTACCTCCTTCACTGGGGAGTATTCAGCCCAACTTACAAGGCCGAGCTCTTTGGCAGGATGTTCACACAGGCAGCCAGCTTCTTGTCCATGATGGCCCTGGGTGAGACAGGAGGGGAGTTAGAGCTTGTTCCCAGCTCGCTGCGGGTCAGCGCTTGCCCCCAGCCACGGGGACATTCCTTTGTGCTGCCCTTGACTGCCAGCAGCAGCTTTGGCACTGGGGACGTGGGATTGGGGGTTAATTATTACCCTGGGAAAGCAGAGGCAAAGGTGACCTCCAGCTGGAGCTGCTTCAGCTCGGGTCCTCCTGGCCCAGCTCTGAGGAGCAGGAAGGTTGGTGTTGCTCCTGGACTGGAGCAGCCCATGGGACCCGTGCCTCACACGGTGCAAGGACCTGCCCAGTGCCAACCCTCCCCTCTGCCCATGCTGCCGTGGGGACACCAGGGCAGGGGCTGAGCCCCAGGAACTGGGATGGACAGGAAGGGGTTTGTGCTGTCAAACTGTGCCTCTTCCTCACACAGCAGACTAAACGTGGATCTTGTTAAATTAACGACATCGAGGTTTATCTACCCAAAACGTCCCAGAAATCTGAAGCCCAAATAAATTCCTTCCCTCCTGCTGCCTCCTTTAGTTGTGAGCCTATTTGTTCTCGCAGAGCTGCTCGGGTCTGCCAGCAGAAGTGATATTACTGAAGCAATCTTGGGGTGGATTTTTAGAAGAAGGAGGTCAAAAGTTGTGTTTTCTGCCCAGAGCCAGGGCTGGGCCCTTCTCACGGTGGTGGCTCTGCTGGAGGTGCTGCACGACTGACTGCACCCTTGGTTTTAACCCTGCCTCACCAGGCACTACTTGGTACCAAGTGCTTTGACAATGCAGACGTTTAACTTCCAAATGACTTTGAACTGCAGAGGAGGCAGGAGTTCTGAGATATTGGAAGGCTCGACTCAACTACCTGTAGAAATTAACTATTTGTGACCTAAAAAACTGAAATTGTTCCTACTGCTCTGATTCCAAATGCTCTCCAGAATGCTTTAGGCTCAGAGCAGGTTAAAAATTTATTATCCTTACAGCCAGAGTATGATACAGCCTGGAGGTGACTACAGAATAAATGGTAAGAAACACTTAGCTTTGAAAAAGACAACATTATGAACTGTAAAAATAAGGCAGAGTTGGTCACTGGCTTGCATGCCCCCAGAGATGAGCAGGAGGAGCAGAAGAGGTGCCTCCTGCATGGCTGTGACCTGAAGATGTCCCAGCCAATGTGCTACAGCATCATTCTTTGTGGCCTGGCCCCTGAGCCCTGAGGAGAGCCAGGCTCCTGTCTGAAAGTGCCCCAGCTCCTCTGCACGTCTCCACCAGCAGCCCTGGAGAGGTTCACACCTTGCAGCTACGAGTGCAAGGCCAAGGTGCCCTCCTGGGGCTGCTCAGGCTCTGCTTCAGGACAGGGAGGGATCAGGAGCAGCCTGGGCACTGGGAGGAAAGCCACCCTTCCTGATAATCCTACAACATCTTGCTACTCCAGCAGTGTGCTGGAGAACCAGCTCCTGGACCCAGCTCACTCACGGAGCTGGGTTTGATGGTTAAGCACAGTGAGGTGAGGCCATGGGGATGGACATCCCTCTGCTGATGGCCCAGCCTGAGAGGACAGCCAGCCAAGGAGGCTCCAGCTTGTTTGCTCTCACCCTGTGCAGCCAGTTCCAGGCATTTGATGCTTGTAGAGCATCTTGAGTTAATCTGTGGACCAACGAACTGCAGCAGCATGAGGGAGACGTCCCCACTGAGCCTGTCATGCCAAACACATGGCACAAATCACTTTGGTTTGGCTGCCTGCAGCTTCCAAGTCACTTCAGCACAGGAATCTTTTGATTTGGGTGAGTACCTTCTAATTGCTTCTGCCCTGTCCCAATAAACCATGATCCTAACTGAGACCCTGAACTTTGCTGTAACAAGCTGAGTGGAAGCACGTGCCCACCATGGGGACAGGGAGGGTTGGAAGAAGCTGAATGTGATCCGTGGAAAACGTCTGCATAATACATGATATCTTTGGGTTGGGTACTTAATGTGTGTTTCTTTGTCCCTGCCTCCCAATGGGCTCTGAATTGAGACAGATGAAATATTAATAAGCAGAAAAGCAAAGGAAATGATATGCACAAATGAAAGGCAGAAGCAGAGGCTGACAGGCTGCTCGGGTGTTAGGTGAGTTATCTGGGGTGCAGGAGCAAAACCATCCAGCCCAAAGGGGTCAGCTCCTCCCAGCAAGGCCAGGGGAGAGGCCAGATCTCCTGTGTGGGCTTTAGGGCTTAGTCTGAGGATTTTAAATTAATAGTACTCCAGATAAACTGGATTAGAACTGACACAATAAACAAGCCAGACATTGAATTCTACCTGCAGCTAATCTGTTTTCACAGAACTTGAACTCCTCTTCCTTAAAACCAGTGGAAAATTTCCCTGGAGACTGAGCCACTTGGAGTGAGTGCTCTACTGAGCAAAGTAAAGGAAAAACAGAGATGACAACACAGGGAAAAGGTGTGTGGGAAAACGGATGCAGAAGCCCTGTGTCATCCTTTACAACCATGGCTCATTCATCCAAATTCCAGAACAAAGGAATAATTACTCCACCAGTAAATGCACAAACAAAGTGCATATACCTTAGGAATGAGGAATATTTAATTTCCTCTCCCTTTGCTGCGAGATAAGGAACAAAGAGTGGAAAACAGTCACAAAGCTGTTTAGATGAAGCATTTTCAGGAACTGAGGCTCTTTTCACCAGCCATGTACAGTTACTCCTTCTCTCAGAGGACAGCAAGCAGGGCAGCTACTATTCTATTTGAATTTCTTAATACAGATGCAGTATTTAAGGTGACACAGAATCCCTTTCAGTAGCCTGTCAGCTCCTGAACGACTGTTTGGGAACACTTTCTAGAAGATGGAGAGTTTTTGGCAAGCAGCAGGGTAGCAGGGAAAACAGTGCAGGAGGTGTTGCAGGAAACTTCATGGTCCATCATAAACATTTTCCCAGTCAACACGGTTTCAGTACTTTGAACAAACCATCTATTGAGTCAGGGGCTGACAGATGTGTGAAAAAAAACTCTACATGAAAAATATCATGCAAATTATCTCATACATTAAAAGAGAGAGAAAAAAAAATAAAGGTAAAGCACTCATACCCTAAAGTTTGTCTGGTGAGCAGCGTGTGGGCTTCTAGGTGGTACCTCACAAGTCCCTGCTCTGTGTTTGCTGGGGACCACTTTGGTCTTTTTTTTTATTTTCAAGGCAGTCTGCTGTGCTTTTCCCTCTCCATAAACACCTCTCCTGGACTTTGTTATCTGTGTTGTTTTAAAGAAGAAGAAACACTGTGGCAGGTCAGAGAACACCTTGAGGACCCCGAGATTTAGGGCCATGGCTTTAAAATGGGTCTTGAACATGAAAGTCAGTGGAATAAACTGAGAATTGGCTTGATGTTCCTGTGGCATTGGCTTCAGAGGTGATTGTCAGCTTTCTGTTAGAAAGCACAGCTCCTGGCAAGTGGATGTGTGATACAGAGAGAGAGCACATGAGGAAGGGAGCACTGCTTGGGTAGGGGTGCAACATACAGGGAGCCTCTCGAGAGGCAAGGAAAAGCTTTATTCCTCTGCATTCAAGCAATTCAAGCAGACAAGCAGGGGAAGTGTGTCTGTACCTTGCTATATCCTTGGCAATCTGCTCGTTGAGACAGTTGATGAAGGCAATGGAGTGGGTCCCAGAGAGGTAGCTGCCTGTGACAGCAGAGTGCAGCTGGAGAGCGAGACCTCTCAGCACTGGGAACATCAGCAGAGACAGAACCACCACCTGGGATGCAAAACCTGCATTAGGTGACCTGGTTCTCCCCAGGAGCAAGTGATAGGGCAAGAGGAAATGGCCTTAGGTTGCCCCAGGGGAGGTTTAGGTTGGACATGAGGAATCATTTCTTCCCTGAAAGGGTTCTCAAGCCCTGTCCCAGGCTGCCCAGGGCAGTGGTGGAGTCCCCACCCCCGGAGGGGTTTCCAGGCTGTGGAGATGTGGGGTGAGGGACACGGGGCAGTGGGGACCTGGCAGTGCTGGGGAAGGGTTGGACTCAGTGATCTTAAAGGCCTCTTCCAACCACAATAATTCTCTGATTCTATGAAATATTGCATTTTGTATAACTCAGCATTTAGATTATCTGTGGCTTAAGGGAAGTCTCCAGTCTCCTTTCAACATTACAGTCCTGCCAGCTGCAGTTTAAGTGACCACATGCTCATAGGGAAGATTCATTCCCCTCCAGTGGGGACAATCTAGTGCTGTGCCAAGTGTTTGGGGCAGGAAAGGGGCAGTTTGTGAGGCCATATCAGCCCAGATGTGCCCAGAACTCTGCTGTGGGAGGTCACACCCCAGACTAATGGGGGTTACAGCCCCCAGCACGTGGCCTCACCAGGCAGGACTGATTTTCCAAGGAAGACTAAGGAGGTAAGTCACTGATTGTCAAAATATAGGGTGTGCCCAGGGTGAGGCATGTCCACCCCTCTGGGAAACAGTGAGGATGGGACCCTCCATCTCCCTGGAGATGTGGGAAGGTGGAGAGCAGCACGTCAGGGAAGGATCTGGCCATGGGGAACAGATTTGGGCTGGAGCCTGATGCAGGAGCAGAGCCCCAGGAAGCCTGGGGTAACACAGTCTGTGCTGGGACCCAGAGAGCTTTCATCCTGCCCTGTCAGCACAGGATAATTAATCTCTTCTGCTGATAGATGTTGTGCAGCCCACCCAGGCTCTGAAACCATCTCGCAGAGCAGGCAAGGGAGGGTAAGACTGAAATGCAGGTTTTAAGTTCATTTAATCTTAATTATCTGATACTAGTAGGACAGTGAGGCTGCATCCTTTGGGGCACAACACCCAGGTCTGCAGGGCTGTCTCTGCCCAGCTGGGCTGCACAAAACAAAAAAAAACTCCTCTCTCTGGGCTGGCAGCACAGCAGCAACAGGTTGGTTTTGCTGTACATTAGGTGCTATTCCCAGCAAACCTTTTTGCTGCTCCTTGTGCTTCCACAGTCCTAAAAAAAGGCCCCAAGTGTCTCTCTGGGGAGGTGGCTGCAGCAGCAAGGCCCATGTGGTGTGCTGAGCAACCAGCACAGCCCTGCACGGCCTCAGCACAGCTGCTCCTCCCTTTGTCTTTTGTCTGGTTTTTGAAACAAACAGCATCTGGCCCTTCTTCAGCTGCAGGGATAAAAAAACCACTGTAAGACTAAGGATATATTCCTTTGCCTCCCTTATTTCCACCCTCCTCTGAGCAACCTCTCATTACAGGGCCCATGGCAGAGTTCTTTTCTGTAAAAAAATGGATTAAAAAAAAAACCCTCTCTCTTGTCACCAGAAAGACAGGAGCTCCTTTCCATCTGGAAAATGACTGATGTGCTATATTCATTGTCTCCTCTTTTCCAAATCCATTTGAGGAAATATTCTTTGTTATCACAAGGTTTCTCATAATCATCTGCAGAGATCCTTTTGTGCTCTTTTTTTTCCACTAAGCCATTTAACAAATACCATGCAACAAATCCCAGAAGCTACTCAGATAGTTCTGAGTCTAACTCTGATATGCTGCTGTACCTATTTTTCCAGATTTGAACATAATCATGTTCCTGCTCAGGGAAAAAAAGATCTGACCTGTTCAGCACAGAGATCACTAATCTTCTTGGAAGATATATGTGCATGTGATGAGAAAATCCTCATGAACACTTGTGATTGAGTATTAGTATGAGAGTGACCACTCTCTTGGTTTTTTTTTGGTGTTTTCTGCCCTTTTTTCTTTTTCCTGAGAAGAAATATAACCCCTTCTTTTTTTTCCCCCTCTCAATAATTCTATTTGCCAAGGGATGATGCAAAAGTGAACGACTGAAAGTCCAGGTTTCCCAACTGATAAGCCAAATAAACTCACAACGGCTGAAATGTTGACGTGAACAAAACCAAAACCCGTGCTTTGAGATTTTAAGTATTTCACTACAAAGCACTGACCAGCAAAATGATAGCTGAGTTTAAAGAGACTGAGATTTCCACAACGTTCCTTTTGGCTTTGGTGACCTAAAAACAGCTTTAGAGTTTAAAATTACCATGTTAGGACTTTATGCCTAGTTTTGATGAGGTTCTGTAAAAAAAAACCAACCCAAACCAACAACGAATAACAAATGAAAAAACCAAATGCAACTCGTGGCAATCTTGAGCGTGTTGCGAGCTACCTCAGCGCAAGCAGGAAAAACCTTTTTGCTCTGCAGACTGCGAGTACATCCCTCCCGCACGGTCTTTTTCTTTTCTCAGATATTTTTTCGGAGGTCCCCTGACGCAGGTGTAGCCAGAG